AAAAAAAAAAAAAAAAAAACCCACTGCCATTGAGTTGATCCCTATTCATAGAAACCCCCGTTGGGTTCCAAGGCGGTAAATCTTTACAGAAGTAGACTGCCCAGTCTTCCTTCTGTGGAGCAGCTGGTGGGTTTGAACCACCAACTTTCTGGTTAGCAGTCAGATGCCTTAGACACTGTGCCGCCAGAGCTCATGAAAATGTCTGCTTCTCTTACCCTCTCCAACACTGAGCCTTACAAAACATTTTAATCTTTGACAAGTGAATAGACTTTTTTCCAAACTTTCATTCTTGTGTTAATTTGAGGTTCTGAAGTGGAGTCAAGTGCACATCTTTCATACGTTGGTGACCATCAACGTTTTTTTCAGTGAACTACCTAATTGTGCTTTGTGTTTATTTTTTCTGCCATGTGGTTTTTTCATATTCATTTTTAGAAGCTCTTTCTACATTAAAGAAATTAGCTCTTTGTCATCCATGTTCCGCTTTCATCCCCGATTCTGTTATTTGTCAAAAACGGTTGGCACCTCTCCACCTGCAAGCTACACTCCAGGTTCTCGCTCCCCACTCCCCATCTCAGGCAGACAGAACCAAGATACCTTTGCCACTTGCCACCCATGTGGTGCCCAGATCTGTAAACAGGTCTATGTCCCACTCATCATTCCACTTTACAGATGAAAAAAAACCACAGCCCAGAATTGTTCTCTAACTTATCCAAGATTAGACAGCTAGCAAATGACAGGTCCAAATCCCGACTCCAGGGCCCAAAGTCTTGATCATCATTACACTGACAGCCTCTAGAAAGACACAGAGGCTGGCCCTGAGCCTTCCAGAAAGGCACTGCTTTGCATACCCCCAGCACCTTCCAGCCTAAACCTCCCGCCTGTCTTGACTCAGCCTCTGCCTGGAGGTCTGAAACGCCAGCAGCAACCAGCAAGGAGCCCCACTCATCCTTGAAGCCAGCACCACCCAGGGCTGCCTTTCTCATGAGTCACCCAGCCCCGCTGACGTGAGGCTTCCTTGTCACCCCTCCCAGCCCACAGTCCATTTGTTCTCCTCTAGCTTTATCTAAACAATATACAGCCATGTCACATCACAACCAGAACTCCTGACCCCAGAAGTCCCCTGCCTGACCTGTTCCAGGACCTCAAAACCTCATTAAAACAAAATCACCAGTGACGTCCCAGAACACCAACACCAACAGCAATTCTTCCCACCACACATTCTCTCTCTCTCTCTCTTTCTCTCTCTCTCTCTCTGCAGGTCCAGTGGATGTCCCCTCATCACCCGCATCCCAGATGCCCTCACCTGTCACGATGGGGTAGGACTGTGGCCCGGGCACGGTGCTCCCGATATCAGCGGGTGTGGGGCTAGTCAGGTTGGCCTTCATGTCATCCAGCCCTCCAGCCAGCGAGGCCATGGCTGAATACTCGGTGGTCTGCAAGAAGAAAGAGCAACATCAGCAATGAGACTCTCAAGCACCTTTGCCAAACATTGCTGCCATGTTCTGGGCTCAGGCACCAAGCTGCACCAGCCCAGGCCAGTGCCAAGGGCTATGGTGGGGTGGGGGAGTTCACTGACCCCCTGGATTAAGAGGGCAAATTCAACTTGATAGCACAAGACAGTTGTCCAAGAGGGAGAGTCTTCCCCAGGTGAAGAAGGGGGCAGGATTCAGGGCAGCTCCCAAGCCTCTAGCTCCCTCTGTGGCCTACAGGCTCCCCCTTGACCAGCTCCCGCTGCCCAGTGACAACATCCTCCTCCATCAGTGCAGAGTGAGGAATCTAATGAAAGGCAAGAGGATGGAAAGGAAGGGTTCTGATTTCTGTGTTCTTAGACCACAGAGACCGAATCACTAAGAAGGGGTTAAAGGGAACCTAGAGATTGTCCAGTCAAATGCTCATTTCACAGATGAGCAACTGAAGCGCAAAGGGATAGACAGAAAATATATAGAAAATGTATTTCTTACTACAGGTCACAACCAAGCACTGACCTTGCCAATGGTCGACAGGGCAGAATCCCATCCAGAGGGTAGTTCACCATAAACTCTCACCCTAAACCCAATACATCAAACCAACTGAGCCACAGCTTGGCCAGCATTTCTGAATTTGAGAAGCATGTTAACAGCTGGGATATGAAAGCCCTTGATTTATCCAGTCCACACCAACCACAAGCAGTTGGCCCATGAGTCATGCACCTTTCTTTAAGCCACTCTGTAAAATCCAAGCTTGCAATGAGTCATTTCCTTGCCATTCAAGCCCCTGTCAGAATGGTGTCCAGGGAAGGCAATGAAGATGCCAATTTGGACTCTCTCATTCAAGGACAGACTTCATTACAAATAAGAGTGACATGTCTCTTCCTCCCATGCAACCCCTAATCCTATTTCAGGTAAAGAAAATATTTGCAAATATCTGAGCCAAAGAATTTGGCTGCACATGCTAACCTTTGGTGTGGGGAGCTCCCCCCAGGACCCTGGCATGGCTGACGGAAGGCACGGTGACTGGAGAGCAACTGGCCTTCCGGAAGGAGTTGCAGGTGCCCTCAGTGGGGTGACTAAGACTGGGACAGTAAGAGGGAAACTGAAGGAACCATTAGGCGAGTGGTACACAAAGGGGCCTTAGACTCAGGCACATCCCTGGGACTCCTCTCTGCCAAATCATTTAGAAAGTCGTCCCTGGGAAGCCCAGGTGCCAACTGGAGTTGATGGCGGCAGTGAGTGCAGGGGTGAGTGCAGGAGGAGCTGCGGGCTCAGGCCTCCTAGGGTGGATTCTTACGAGGACAGCTTATCCAGAGCTCCCTGGGACCCTTCAGTCATCTTCCAGCAGAGACTGATTGTGAAATACGTGGACGGACAAGAACACAGGCCCAAGGTGAGCCCAGACACTCAGGAAGGAAGAATAAGGCTGGGGAGATGGTCCGGCCAGACACCCAGAATTACTACGGGTCCAAGGCAAGCCCAGACACTCAGGAGAGAAGAACAAGGCTGGAGGGATGGTCCGACCAGACATTCAGAATTACTACAAAGCTACTGTAATTAGGACAGTGTGGTATTGGCATGGGACAGATAAATAGACCCATGAAACAGCATTGAGTCCAGAAGCTGATCTGTGCATGTATGGAGCCTTGATATATGACAGAGGTGATGTACGAACCAGCAGGAAGGATGGACTCTTTAATAAACCATGCAGGAGTAACTGGTTATCCACTCAGAAACAAGGAGGGGATTAGGCCTTTACACCAGACACAAAAATCAATTCCAGGTGGATTAGATACCTAAGTGTGAAAGGCAAAAGGCATCTAACATGGTCAGCTCTACAAACAGCCAAAACTCCTTGGGCACAAGTCTGCCCTTCACGAAAGGAAGTGGGTGCCCCAGGATTTTCATATAGAGTTCCCAATCACTGTGAGGACAGTGCTCAGTCTGCAGGAAATGGTGAAAGCCCAGTTGGCCATCCTGTCACCTTGCTCCAATGCCTCACCTTCCGTGACATCTTTCCTGATCACCACTCCCCAGGAGGCATAGGTCACCTTCCTCAACAGTCCTGTGCACAGTGCTGGCCCTCTGCTTGTACAGTGACCTCATTATGGACACTCAGTCCTGGCACAGTCACCCTCGGGTCAGATAATATGCTCAGTGTGTGGGTCACCGAGCAGGAGCTCAAGGAACGTCAGCTCACTGACAGACAAGAGGATGACAGGGATCTGCCGAGCAGAGACCCCCACAAGCCATGCCGCCTCTCAGCCCAACTCTGCTGGCCCTGCCAAGTGGGGGCAGGGCAATGACAGTAACCTTTGCAGTGGCATCAAAAGCTCACATTCATCCAGTACTTACTCTGTGCCAAGAGCTTTACCTGTATTATCCCATTCAATTCTCACAGTAACCCCAGGAGGTAGGTTCTATGTTATTGCCATTTTACAGATGAGGAAACGGAGACTTACAGAGGGGGAGGAACTAAGGTCACACAGCCTTTAGGTGCCAGGCCAAGATTCAAACTTGGGTCCATCTGACTCCAAAGGCCTGATGATTATGTCTATGGCTGTGGCCCATGAACACGTAGTAAAATCAATGTACTGGTACCAATATTTTTTAAAGTGAAATGAGAATGGACTAAAACAGAAAATACCCAAGTGCCTCACTTGTAGAAAGGGTAGGCCCTATTTCGTGAATCTCTGATTCACTCCAAAGTGTGTATATGTGTGCCAGGTGGAGATGAATATGTGTTTCTTGTCAAGGGTTATGACCAGCGATGTCTGAGGAGCATGTCCTTCACTCTATGCAGCGGGGTACCATTGGGGAAAGCTCACTGCCTAGACTTCACTCCCCATGGAAGGGATTTAGTCCCAGCATCAGCTTCCTGATTTGCTAAGAACCAATTTGGGAGCAAGTCCCCTGGAAGCAGCCTCTTCAGTCCAATGTCATGTGCGCCAACATTGCTCAAAACACATTTCATGGGTTGTCTTCCTCCAAGGTGTCTCCTGGGGTTTCTGGGCCTCTGACTGGGGGGACAGTGCCTTCCTCCTCACTGCCCCCAAATGCCTGGTGAAGTCCTGCACTTAGTAGGTGTGCTGCACCACTCACACAGCATTCAGGGAGCCCCTGTTGCATGAAAGACTGCACATCAAGGCCAGGCATTCTCTTTGATGACCATCCACAAACCCTAAGGGAAAAGATACAAGGCTGCAGAAGTACCATCCAGGAGGGACAAGAGTGCACAGCCAGCCATTTCCGTGAGGTGGGGGAGGTCAGGAGAGGCTTCTTGGGCCACGCGGTACTGAAGCTGTGTTGGAGGCAATCCCCAACTCCCATGGCGGACAACAGCAGGAGGAAGGCTCAGAGGTGAGAGGGTAGGAATGATCCAGAAACAGGGCACATGCCAATAGCTACAAGGGCTGACGGTAGAGGAGGTAAAGATGAGCAGGTGGACACGCGGGAAGTTGCCTTTGGAAGGCTTGCACAAGGAACACATGGGTGGACAATTGAATGAATGATCCAATGAGTATCCTACTTAGGAGAGCCAGGCAGTACCTCAGCCAACAGTCAGCGACCCTTTGCCCCTCCCCCCCCACTCCCCATTCCCAGACACCAGCCTCTCCTCGCTGATACAAGTTGGCCTACCCAGTCTGTAAGGGAAAGCCTCTATTACCCCCGAGAAGCAGTCAACAGAAACATACACACAATGGAATACTATGCAGCCCCAAAGAATAATGCAGAATCTGCAAAATACCACATAACATGGATGAACGTGGAAGATATTATGCTGAGTGAAATAAGTCAATCACAGAAGGACAAATACTGTATTAGTCCATTATTGTAAAAAGTCAAGGAAAGGTTTATATATGGAAGGATATTTACTTTGTTGGTTACCAGTGGAAGGAGGGGAGGGGAGGGAACACTGTTAGATAGGCAGAGACCAGTATTGATTTGGGTGAAGAGAAGGGCAATGTTCCAAATGTAAGTGATCAACACAGTGGCATTGAGGAAGAGGAAGACAGAGAGAGGTACATGGGAGGTACAGAAAAAAAAAAAAAAAAAGGGGAAAACCCCAAAAAAAAAAGAAACCATCAACTTGGCTTAGGAGAATTGCAAGAAAATTGTATCAGTAACTTATTTACTGTCCAGATAGAAGGGTCTTTTTGCTATTTGATTTTGTTTCCATCATAAATTCAATACCAAAGTTTGTCTGGTCACTTCCATCATTGGGCTTGGAGTCGTTGGGACTTCCTACCCAACAGGGTAGCAGATGTCAGGAACTTTGATCATCTTCCCAAGACATGAAATATTCGACTTGTGTTATCCATGCAGTGGGAGCTCCAAAACTCAGGTGTCCGACACTGCCAACTCCCAGAAGGAAACAAACAAACAAACAAAAATCCTCTGCCATAAAATCAATTCTAACTCATGTTGTTGTTGTTGTTGTTATGTGCCGTCGAGTCGGCCCCGACTCATAGCGACCCCTCCTTGGGTTTTCGAGGCAGTATCACTACGGAAGTAGGATTGCCCAACCTTCCTTCCGAGGAGTGGCATAGAGAGCCTATAAGACAGCGTAGAACTGCACCCCATAGGTTTCCAAGGCAATAAATCTTTACAGAAGCAGACTACCAATATTTCTCCTGCAGAGCAGTTGGTGGATTCGAACAGTCCACCTTTTAGTTGACAGATGAGCTATTTAACATCTGTGCCACCAGGGAGCCCAATTTCCCTAAATAATAGGAGCTTGGGGGACAGTGGGCCCAGATGAAGCCCTAGGATGCCCTTCACCATCTGCGCCTCCCACCATCGCCACCTCCCAGGGCCTGTCCCGGGCACAGCCTCTCTCCTTTACAGCCCTTATTCTGCTCCTACACGAGCTAGTGGATGCTGCCATTTAGTCTGGCATTTAGTTGTCCCATAAATTCTCTGGGTTCTGTGTCTTTGGCTGTCTACGGTTTTAAACAGTCTCCCCAATGTCCGAGGCTCTTTGGACCAATGCTTATTTCCTAACTTTGCAAAGGTACAATGATAGCATAAGATGTAAGCATTACTGTTAGTTTCTGTGGCGTCAAGGCCGACTCACGGCGACCCCACATGAGCAGAGTAGAGCCGCTCCACAGGGTTTTCAAGGCAGTGCTCCTTGGAAACAGATAACCAGGCCTTTCTTTTGAGGAGCCTCTGAGTGGGTTCAAACTGCCAACTGTTCAGCTACTAGTTGAGTGCTTAACTCTCTGCACAACCCAGGGACTCCTTCTCCTGGACTCCTTGGAATGTCACTACAGCTGGCTGCACCCAGGCATTCCAGTCACGCCCTACCTCTAACTGGAGGGCCCATTGCACTCAGTCACTTAGAGAACTCCTGTCCACAAGACAGGCTCACGTGGCTTCCTTGGTGAAGTCATCAGTAGACCCACACCTCTGCACTGATGTAATCACCCCCACGTTTGTCCTTCCACATCTGGTGGCATTTTGCACAGCCCTTGGTCATCACTCTTCCGGCTGCGTGTTGACAGTCGTTGTTTGTCTGTCTCCTCTAGGTTGCCTGGAGGGCATGGACCACGGCTGATCCATCACTAGATCCCCAGTGCTCACTAAGTGCCTATTGAATGAGTGAATGAGTGAACGGGTGAGTGCGTAGTCCAGCAGCCGGATACTAGCCACAACTCTCAAAAATTACAGGGGGATTTTGAACAAGAACTCTCAGGGATACACTGACTTCCTCATCAAGTCATGTGATCAGAAAGCAATGTTCTTGTTCAACATTAGTTAAAGCCCGTGGAGAAGTGCCTTCATTGATCTGTGATGGACTCTCAGGCATTCAACATTTGTTGGAGGCGACAGAGATGCCATGCAAAGAATATTTCTTTACTTTTGGAGACACAGTCCATTAAAATACTCAATATTCCTTGGCAATACGTGCCATAATTCAGTACCAGAAACAAGATTTTTTTCTGCTGATGAATGGTCCCTGTGCTTCTGATTGGACAGCAGGAATGCTGGAAACCACGGCATATCCCCTTCACCTTGGTTGCCAGGAAACCCAGAAAATTCAGTGCTCAACTGCCACATTACTTTTTGTTCCTGGTGCAATGATCTTAATTTCTGTACAATATTTATTAACTCCCCGCCCAGCTTTAACTTAAGTACATGTAACTGTTTTGTAGGCCACTTCAAGTCCTCTGTAATAGTGGAGGCTGGGAGAGAGGGAAAAAATGACAGAAAGAAAACAATGACATGAGAGTAAGAAAGGAGGATCAAGGAGAGAAAGAGGGGAAACGAGAGGTGATACGATCAGTCCCTCTTTTTCCTAGTAACAGTGGCAATCCACTTCCGTTTACCATGGTTACCTGGAAATCTAAGGGATAAATAGTAGGGTTCAGAGACCCCGGGCATGCACAGAGTCACATATTCACCTCCACACTTGAGTGTGTAGGCTCTGCAGAGCCATTGACAGTCAAGAAACAGCTCAGTTCCGTATTTCCTACTTCTCCAAGTCCTTGGAGTTGTTTCTTTGTGGATCATTTGGGGCTTCTGTTCCCTCCCCATCAGGGTCTCCATGGTGTTGTCTTTAATCATGACCCAACAAGAGAAATTACTGAGGTCAGTAATTCACAGACTGCCCACTACAATGCAAGAAAATGAATAAAATTTTCTCTAACTCCTGCCATAAGCAGGCTCCAAGGTCAAGACCACTGGCCCCAGGAGTGTGCACCTTCCTCACAGACACCATGCTCTACCCCTCTCAAATGTCAGAGCTAGAAAGATCTTCAGGGTCATCCTTCCCAACGTGGAGAAACTGAGGCACGGGAAGAGGATGGGATTTCCCTAGTTAATTTCCATCTTCATTCTTGACAGCCTTTGACATAGTGATACAAAGAACACGGAACTAGGAGTGACAACAGGGTTCTTGTGACCGTAGGCATGGCAGGTCAGCTGAGCACCACTGTCCTCACTAGCAGAGTAGGGACTCTAATGCCTTGCTGCCTGAAAGGGTGGTTTTGAAGATCTGAAGGATAAGGAGGAGGACAGCACTCTGGGAACGAAGAGACACAAAGGGGTTCAGGAATCCTAGCGAGGGGCTCAAGGAGGTACGTGCCCCAGGAAAGCGTGGCTGGGCACCATTTGGGTCCCTAGGAGATTACCTGGAAAAGGACTGCCTGAGGCTGCACCAAGTATTGTCTCATCAGCACGGGGCACCACTGCCACAGCATGAAGGAGAGAAGAAACAGACACGTGAGAAGGAGGCTGCACAAAGGGGCCGTGTACCGGGACGAGGCTGGGCGGCTTGGGCCTCGAGGCTTCCCCATCACCTGCTGGGCTCCTCCAGGCTTGCTGTGGGCCTCGCGCAGCCCTGGGGACCCGGCCAAAGCCAAGCCAACTCCCTCCTGAGGGGCCCAACGCCTGCCCACCATCACACCTACCCAAAGGAGGACCAAAGATGGAGCAGGGGAGGTGTGTTTCCAGGGCCTGACCTGGTTACCTGGGACTGAAGAGACAGAGGGCTCTGGATGCCCGAGGCATCTGGGGTGAGGGAGGGGCCCGGGACAAGTTCCTCCTTTCACTGGGCCTCTGCTTCCCATCTGTCTAAGGATCGCCACTTGGTGATACTAAGCCCCCTTCCAGTGCCAATGGTCTTTGTGTCTATAACTGGTCACATTACAACAGTGGATTCCCTATTCAACTTAATCTCAAGGCAAGAAAAGAGAGATGGAAGGGGGCCCTTTGGGTTAACGGAGATCTAGAGACACAGTGTGTGTCACCCTGAGTCAAACAAACAAACTGTGAAAAAAAATTGACATGAAATGAGACAATTAGAAATGCAAACAATGACTGGATGTTTTACAACATTATGGGATTTGTTCACTTCTAGGTGTGATCATGGTATTGTAGTCATCAAAGGTCTTAACTTTTAAAGAGTCCTTCTACTGTATTTACAAATGAAATGATACGATGTCTAGAGTTTGCTTCCAAATAAAGTGGCATATTTGTACAGTGGGAAACTAGTAACCAATAAAAAGGAATGAAGTGTTGAGACACGTTACAACATGCAGAATCCTCAAAAGCAGAAGTGACAGAAGCCAGTTACAAAGGGCCACACGCTGTATGAATCCACCCACACGGACTGTCAGAAACGGTAAGTCTTCAGACACGGAAAGCAGTGCCGTGGCTGCCTGGGGCTGGGGATGAGAACAAGGATTACCTTGATAAAGGGGCATCAAGGGTCTTTCCGGAGTGATGGGTCAGTTCTAAAACTGGACACTGGTGACGATTCACCAGTCTATAAACTGACTACAGATCTCATACACTTACAGTGAGTTAATTTTCTGATACTACAAAGTATCTTCAACAGAACTGTTCAAAATAAAGTGGACTTGTTGAGGGGCAGAACTATCAACAAAACAAAACTGGCTGTGAGCTGGTGGTAATTACTGGTGGATCTGGAAGTGAGTACCTGGAAGCTGATTAGACTGTTCTGTTCAGTTCAGAGTATCTCCATAACCAAAGTGAAAACACAAAAGCAACAACAAAAACAGCACACATTTGACTGGTGGTACCCTTGTAGGCACCCATCAGCTACCCAACAAATCCCTGTGGGAGAGAATCCAAGAGGCAGAGGGCAGCCAGGAGTTTGCTCTCTGGTCCCCTCTTCCTAGAGGCCCTGCTCCACCACAGAAGACCATAATCCCTCCATCTTCCAGGGCGTAAAGGCCAGACCCATGAAGCACAAGGCCTCTCAAGTGCTCAGCTCACCCCAGACGCAAGGTCCTTGCAGGTCTACCATGACCTTCCCGCAGCAGCCTGGGTGTGGATCCCTGCAGAAACAAGCTCGGATGGGAGCCCAGGGAGTCCAGCTCCAAACTCAGTGCCTGTCCATCACTCCCGAAGCAGAGGGGAAGCCCTTGTGACCAGCCCAGGGACACAGCTCGGACACCTCCATATAGCCGGAAGCTCTCCTCCCCACTCTGAGCTCAAGCTGAACTCTGCTCCTCCATCTGGGAAGAGAGCCCTGAATCCGCAAGCAGAAGGGGGCACGCTCCAGTTTGAAAATCTGGGTACACAAAACTCTACCTGGCAAAGCAGATGTTAAGGGGTAGTTCTGGGGGATTTAGTGGGTTAAAGTGATTGACAGGGAGCCTGGAGACCTGGCTCTGTCTTGGACGCCCATATGATCGCCAGGAGATGCCTCCTCTCTGGGAGCTCAGCAGCTCCATCTGTCAAATGAAGGACGGAGCAGACCTGTCAGGTGCTTCCAAGGGGTTTCAGCCTGAGCGTGGGCCAAACGCTGGGGCCCTCATCATATGGAATGGGGTTCTCCCTGATGTGGCTGGGCCAGGCTTAGGCTTTGCTCTGTAGGGTGGAGAAGATGTTGGCCATTGTATCCCCAGCTCTGAATCCAGAGGGCTGCAAGCCATGGGCGTCAGTGTGGCAGGCAAGCCAGGAGGAGAGGGCTCAAGTCAAACTCATCTGAGTTCCTGCTGGAGGAAACCGGGCCAGTCACCTTACGTTCTCAGCTGCTTTTCTGACTTGTCCCAAGGGGACCTAAGACCTACCTCACACCTCACAAGGCTGTGGGAAGGCACAGACGGAAGGATAAGGACATCAAGACCTTGAGGGAAGGTCTTTTTCTCTCCTTCTGAGTCCGCAAACCTGGACACACAGCAAACACTTTTAAAGGGAAACAAGAGGGATGGAATGCTTCTGTATCTCGCAATATCAACACCAATATCTGAGTTGTGAAAAAGGACTATACTCTTCCAAGATGTCTCCACTGAAGAAAAGCAGGTATACAAAATCCCTCTGTATTATTTCTGACAACTGATGTGAATCGACAATTATCTCAACATATAAACTTCAATTTTTAAAAAAGAGTAAAAAACAAACAAAAACCAAGTTTCAACATTCCATCTCTACTAAATTAAATCAGGCCTGAAAACCAAAGTCCTAAATGGAGGGCTATGAGCAATGCTTGCAGAAGTTCTCCAGGATCTACAAAGGGATTCCCTTAGATAGGGGCAGACTTGCCAAGGATTCTGAATGCCCTCCCTCTTCCAGGAAGCCCTCCGTGATCTCCCCTGCTCTGGATGGCTGAGGAGTCCTCTGTCCTCTGTGTTCTTATACTACCTAAGTGGGAATGTCCCTATCACTGCACATACCACTCTGCATTGTACACGTAACTGTTTAGGGCCCTCACCCCCTCCTCCCCAAAAAGCAGACTGTGAGTTTCGTAAGGATGGGACCGTGTCTCTCTCACCTTTGTGGCCACAGCTCCTGGTTGAGTGCCCAGCCCTGAGCACATGGGACATACATACCCGTGACACCAAATGAATGAGGACAGGTACCTTGACCTGGCCCTGCCAA